CTTCAGGTTGGTAGGTGTCATAATATAACTTTTCTTTTTCGTCATCAACCTTCATATTATCTTTTTGATATTTCTTGACTTCAACAAAGGTAGGGTCATTATGAACTGACGGGCTAAAAATGAATATACGGGCGAAGCAGTCCCTATAAACATTTAGGATAAGGTTTTGAATTAAAACTGTTTTGCCACCCGTTGATGAAGCAACAACAATTGAGCGAAAAGGTAGTTTTGGTACATGTTCATATTTAGATTGTTTGAAATCGTAATCAGTTATATTTATTGGTTTTATTATTGGAACATCAGACATAATAAAATAATATTAAAGTTATTTAGAAAATATTTTATATTTATTATTTTATATGAATAGAAGTTATTCGGATTATATTGATATAATAGATAAAGTAGAAAATATAGAACAAGTAATACTAACTGATAATAGATTTAAAAAAGTATGCTATTTTGTTTTAGAATTAATTAAGTTTGTGATACAATATATTAAAAATATAAATATTAATATAGATGGGGAGAAAGAAAAAGAATAAGACAGAATCAGTTGTTTCTTCAACCGATGAAGAAAAAGAAGAAATTGTTAAAGAAACATCAGTTATTGAGTTTGCTTGTCCAATGTGTAAAAAAATCTTAGAAATGAAAAATGAATTAGAAATACAAAAGAAAGGAAACTGTAAATGTTCGTGTATTCCAACAAGTTTCAAAATAAGTAGAAATGATAAGAAAATGAATATTGATAAAACTAAAGACAGTATAAACTTAGAAACAGATGTTCATAATATAGCTATACGATTTGGGAGGGGGGTTACTCCGTCAGATAATGGTGAAAAGGAAACTCAGGAAACTGTTAAACAAATAATGAAAAATTAGTATTTAAAGAGTAGATTTAACATAATTGCAACATTTAGTTTTAAAAGTTTAGTTTTATAATTTAGTATATATTTTACATGGCTGAAGGATTAGATAAGATTGTTAAACAACTAAAAAAGGTTTTAGAACAGAATAATAATATTTTGGAAATCTTACAAGAAATGGAAAAGAAGAAACCATTCACAAACAGTTATCAAAGTAAAGAAGTAGATAGAACCAGTGGCGAATTTAAAAATAAGAAACAAGTGTATTTAAACAAACTCAACAACAAAGAGATAAAAGAGCCGAAGTCCTCCACTATGGCATTTTATCAAATTGACTATGATGAAGATACAGGGGTTTATTCATAATATAACGATATATTGAGAAAATAAAAGACCGCACACATACATGTTTGATTTGTAATTGTTGTGTGTCTTGGAGGGTAAAAGCAAGACACGAAAAAACTTTGAAACACCAAAATTATTTAAACGAACTTAATAACAAAGAAATTACAGAACCGAAGCAATCAACAATGGATTATGACAAAATAGAATATGACAAGGAACTGAAACTTTATGTTTAATCATTAACTAACAAAATTTCGTGTCTCAAAAGCGGTTTGTTTATTCCTGCTACTTTGTAAGTTTTATTACCCATAATATCATATTCAATTTTATCGATATTGAATATTTTATTAGACCATTTAGAGTTATACTCCTTTCTGTCGGTGTAATTACCCCTTTTCTTTTGAAACACTTTTACCTTGTCGTTCTCCACTATTCTGGGATACTTTCTTTTGTTTTTTTCTCGTAGTTTAAGATTGACCTTTACATTTATTTCATTGTCGTCCTTGTGTGCTTCAGACGGTGTCATCCTTGTTGATGAGTGTGATGTGCTGTTATACTGTTTCAATGCCGGCGTTAGGGCGTCGGTCCATTTCATGTTGTTAAACCTAACTCTATCGTGAATTTTGTTTTTCATCGTTCTAATAAAACGCTCGGCCACATTTGCGTGGGTCTTCGTGACGATGTGGTTTATTCCTTCACTGTTGAAGAAATCCTGAACTTGATTTTTAGTTGCAAACGCTCCGTCGTCATCAGAATACACGGACATCGGATAACCCATCTTTTTAAAGCTTGTTCTCAACGCCTTCAAAACGTGCTCTCCGTCTCTTTCCTCCATCGGTATTACATCTGCTAATTTACTGAAGATGTCAATCACGACTAAAGCATACTGTGGAACGTTCTTGTCTTTTGCTAAAGGTGACATATGCATTATGTCTATTTGATATTCATATCGTGCGAATGGAGCGGTATAGGAATTAGTACCTCTATAATTTTTGATTTGTTTATTTGGTTGTTTCTTCAAGAAAGACTTTACATCGTCTATTGTTATTGTTGGGTCTTCTTCCTTTGCCTTCTTGTGTGTCGCTTGTATGCTTCCGAAACCCTCGTCTAAGTCGTAATAGATGTTGCTGATTATTTGGTCTTTTGTTAATCTCGCCATTATATTAAATTGTTAGAAAATATTTTTTCAATATAAACCGCCACCCCTCAACATAAAATAAAAACTACTTAAAGAAAAATGGGTATAATATAGTAAGAGAAAAAAAAATGACACTGTTTAATTATGATAATTGTCCTTGTAAAAATAAAAAATGTAACTCTGTCGTGGGACTAGCTAATATTTTACCTGTTGATGTTTGTAATCTTATAGGTGGTTGTATTAAACCAACATGTTTTGATTGTCGGTATTTGAGAGAAGAAGAAGAGCATTTTATGAGTGATAAAAACATTCCTGAAGAAGGACTAGAAAAAGCAGAGCTTCAGTTAAACATTATTCAACAAATACAAAATAATGATATTACACAACTAACAGGATACCATTTTAGTTTAAAACATTACAGAAAAAACATTGACAGAGTATTTGATATACAAGAAGTTAAAGAACGGTTTAAAAATAGAAAAATGTATTATCAAGCATTAAAATCATACTGTAAGAATAATGAATATGAAGTTTGTGTAGTTTTAAAACATTGTCTTAAAGTTGAAGAATTAAAATATTGGAAACAAAATGGATTTTGCTTTCCAAACCTAAACAGTTGGTGGTCATATAGAAATAACAATTATTATTTGAGACATATTCTTAGCGAATTAATTGAAATTTACACAGACCAATTAATAAAAGGATACGAGCATTATTTTTGTGAGTATAGTATGAGTTGTTATAGTGGTTGTATCGCTGGTGAGATTGAATACGGGTCAAATTAACTTTTGTTTATTAATATTATTATCTTATAATATGATTAAACATTGTTTTATAATCTAAAAAGAAGGTTAAGACATTTAAATTAAACCTGAAACCCAGACCAGCCGACCAGCAACCCCCTAGCCAAAACTACTTAAAGAAATATTACCTTATATATTAAGAGAAAAATGAACGGTGATGGAATCAATAATTATATCGATAAAAAATGCTATGATTGTTGTCACTTCAAAAAAGAAAATATGGAATTGTATAAATTGAGTTTACCTAATGAAATAGTGAATAATATTATTAATTATTCAATGGATGGTGAAGAAGACATATGTAAAAATTGTAAAACTTGGAGAGATAATCAATTTTTAATCAAATGTCTGTTGGGAATAAAAAGAATACATAATAGAAATGTAGAAGATGATATTTTAATATTTCTAACTGTAAATAAAATACCACCTTACGATTATGTTAAACAGTTTCTTAAAATCAGTAAGAAAAAATATGACACGATTTACGATATATTATGGATGTTGGGTTATAGTCAAGAGAAAGGAGAAGATGTTAAAGAAAATATCAAATTATTTATTGAAAGTAAAAAGTTTAATGTTCAGAATACAGTGAGAGATGTTAATATTATTTTTAAAATGATGTATGAAAGAAGTAAGACAAACCAATTAGATTATTATCCTGAACTGAAATTATAATCATAATATAATAATAACATGTAAAATCTTATATGTTATAATTATACTGAACTTTTAACCTATAACACCCCCTTAAACTTATCTAAAGAAATAACCCCTTAAACATATAGAGACCAATGACAGACAAAAAACAATGTTCCAAATGTAAAGTCTTTCAATTGTTAGGAAAGTTCAACGAAGGAAGAAAACAGTGTAATGTATGCTTGGAGAGCAAACGGCGGTATAGAGAAGCACACAAAGAACAAATACAGCAAAAGTCAAAGGAGTATTACGAAAACAACAAAGAACAAATAGCAGATAAGAATAAGACATATAGAGAGAATAACAAAGACGCTATACTAGAAAAGAAAAAGAATTATCGTGAAAACCATAAAGACGAAATAAAACAAAAAGCAAAAGACTATAGAGAGAAGAACAAAGAAGACATAAATGAAAAACAGAAAGACTATAACCAATTGAAAGTAGAATGTCCTTTATGTAAATGTATGGTAGGAAAATACAAAATGAAAAAACACCAACAAACAAGTAAGCACCAACTAAGAGTGAAAGGTCAAGAAAACAATAACGATACTGTGAGAGATTACATGGAAACAACAAGTGACTTTGAACAAGAATAGGAATACACAAATGAACCACCAACACCCCAGAACTTAATAACTACTAAAAGGGCTAACTCTTTCAAATGAAAAAAATGTCGGCCCCCAGAAAATCCACCCCTAACACCCTACAACAAAATATAGGATGAAATCAAACAAGGGTGTTAAAACGTTGGATAACAACATTTGACCCAATAACCCCAACACTCCTCCCTCTTCCCCTCAGGCCCCCCCTTTTCTCCATTTTTTGGGGGGGGCTGGGTTGGGGGGTTGGGGTTGTGTTGGGGGGTTGGGGGTTTAGGGGTGAGGGTTGGAGGGGGTTGGGGGGGGCTTGGGTTGGGGGGGTTTGGGGGTTGGGGGGTTGGGGGGTTGGGGGGTTGGGGGGTTGGGAGGTTGGGGGACTTGGGGGAGTTGGGGGGTTGGGGGTTGGGGGGTGGGGGTGCTTCCAGTTACACACTGAACTCGGCTGACCCAACGTTGCAAGGTGCCCTGCCTAATTCAGATACTAAGCAAATGTAAGCCACACCTTTCCTGCCTCCCTGTGCCTCTCCAAGCCTCAAGCCTCTCAGCGGAACCCAAGGCCGTGCCACGGACAGCGCCGGGCGCAACTCCGCCCTCGCGTCCCTGGCAGCGGCCAGCCGCTGGCGCCAAGGCCTCGAGGTCGCCGCCGAGAACTCCGCCGCGGCCGCGGCGGCCTGCGAGCTCCAAGCGCAGCCGGCGCCAGGCTGGGGTTGTTGGAGGAACCGGCTGGCATTTTGATGGAAACCGTGCAAATCCATGCAAGGTCCTAAGGTCCCGGATGTTAAATGATTTGGAATGTCAATGAAAGCCCTGCCTGCTTGAAATGGCGTCTTTTGCCCCTGCTTCAGGGTTTGAGACGCAGGTCAGATCCCACCCATTCTCAGTCCAGGAATTTCATTGGAATGGAGTTGGGCTCAACGGCAGATCTTGCACTCACTTCACACATTTGAGTTTGACGGGCGTCGGGTGGAATCAGAATGTTTATTGGACTTTAAGGACGCCTTGGAATTCCACTTCCAGAAAAGCAGTGGAGTTTCAATGGAGGTTATTGGACAATCTTGAGACACAGTAGATGTTCATTGGAATCTTAGCAGACGTTTTGTAATGGGCATGCGCTGGCATGCCATGCAAACCCCTGTGAGTTGATTTATTCAAGGAATTGAGGGGGAGAGAGATGGAAATGTGTTGGAGCATCACAGGGAAAGTGGAGTCATTCCTTGGGCACCGGCAAGCTTGAACCGCCCCAAGCCCATGATGTGTTTGTATCATCATGGAGCTTCACACCCCCCCCCAATGATTGGGGCGCCAATGGCAATTGAAACAACCTGATGTGCAGAGACACCAACTGTTCAATCAAGAGAATCATGGTTATGACTGGGGTTGCAAAGGGGAGCCGACGGAACACATGGGACTACAGTTTTTCAAGGGAGGGAACTTGGATCATGACTCACGCTCTGGAAGTTCGACCATAGCAAAGTGTTTGAAGTGCGGCGTTGTTTTACCGGAGAAGGTGGGGTTGGACAGCTCGTTGGAATCAGAAAAAGAGCAGACGCCTCTCATCCGAACGCAGAAAGTGGCTTTGCCCAAATCAGAAGTTTAGCAAGCCCTGCACCGAAGGACCCACAGTCTCAAGACTGCAGCGGTTGCGACCATGAACCTCGGCGAGGGTCAGTGCGAGATCCACCAAGGACATGCCAGGCCGACCCGCAGACCCATGGCAGATGTTCGGGCTGGAAAGGTATGCTAGTCTCGAAGTCCTGGCTCTTCTGGATGGCGCAAATTGCGGGATCTGTCCAGCCTGCAGGCTGGGGACATCGTTTTGACCATGGAGCAGTTTGAACGTCTCAGATTCCAGTCGGACATGAAGGCGAAGGTCGAGGAAGCTTTCTGGCATGGCTTCGGCTCTTTGGCATTTGCCGAGTTCTGGATGCTTTCCAATTACCTGTTTTCCACGCATAGCAGGGTCATTTGCCGGCAGAATTTTAAAAGGTGCTGGATGGCGGGCGGGCTCGTGCCACGACGTTGCAGCAAGCAAGTAGGCCGATTACCTCCGAATGAACATTGATTCACCGCAACTTGCCGCACTCATCTCAGCTTGGGCTCAATTTTTGAGGTTTTCGAAAACTTAGTTCATGACATGGCGGACGGCATGTCAACTTATTTGCCCCATTGTTCTTGGGTTTGCTCGTGGTACAAGACTCATGCAGCACTAATACAAACACAGACTGCCAGTAATGCCAGCAACCTGTTTTTTTTCTCTCCCTTTGCGGGTATCCTTTTGGCGTGGTTGTCCAAGGGCCATTTTCTCGGGAGGGGGGATGGCCTATGCTATATGCATATATATATATATTTACTTTGAGATTCCCTAGGGTGAAGCCACCCCCCTTGCCCCCTCCTCGTTTGAATACAACGAGCCGCTGTTTGGGAAGCGCATGCCATGGAGACGGTGTTGCAGCAACATCTGCTGGATTTGGAGACCAAGATCCAGCATGCCTTCGATGGAGCCTTGGGGAAATCCGGACCTGTTCCGGACGGTGTTGCAAGCATCAGCTTTTGTGGGGGCCTAGTTGTTTTAGCACAATGAGTTTACACATGTGCGAGTCAAACACCGGAACATCGGCTTCCTTTAGTTGAAACAGTGAGGTGATTTGCAACCTTGTAAGTGAACCCCGCCCAATATCTACTGGGCTAACCCTTCTTGGATTGATTGGTTCGATCATGATATCTGGACTGTTCACAGTTGCAATCCGTGCGCCAGATCCGGTTATGAAAGAGAATCTTCCCTTTGCAGTCAGTCACCAACATCCTTCATCCTGAGCCCAGAAAGCAGTCGAGCTCTCATTCCTGCGCACAGGCAAACGGCCGCATACTTGACCTTGTTTGCTCCCGAATCGCCCAAGATCCAGGCGTATCCGATCGGCCACTGGGACCGGGCCGCAATGCACTGGGATTGCACTTCGCACCAATCAGACTCCGGGGTGAGACGGGCTTGGTGTCCTGCTCAAATTGCAGGTGATCACCGTCTCAGTATTCGAGTCGCGTGAAGCAACAAGAGAACCGCTCAAATTGCTGTGACCCGGCTCCGACTTGCTTAGCTCTTTGGCTTCCAGAGGCTGACCCGCTTTCTCCAGAGTCTGTGTTGACGTCTCTCCCCTTGGCCTGTGCCGAGGAGGATAGATCAGGGCGCATCACTATCCCAACTCGCCCACAGGATGGACATCACGCGCAGCACCAAATCGAGCAAATGACGCACAGCACCACCCAAACCACACCAAAAACCGTACCAGGTTCAGCTGCAGGGTGGTTTTTGGCAATTTGGGATTGGGCGGTTTTAGTGGTTTGAAGTGGTTTGGGTGCTTGCATGCGAAGCTGAGGCGTTCAACAGCATATCCAGGAGATGCAGAAGCTTTTGCATCCGGCCGACGCTCCCCCCCAAGCCATTGAGGACCGTAATTTCCTTTTCTCCGTCAGCTTTGGGTGCCAATGACTCACTGAAATGGGGAGAGGAGGGTGGCATTGAACGAAAGGGGATCCCACTTAAGGGATCCGAATCACCCCGAAGACTTGAAGCATATCCACAAAACTCTGGAGGCCATGGACGATGCCCATATTCCAAAAGAAGAAGCAGCCAAAACCCAATGCCCAAGTCAACAGTGAGCTTGCCCAAAGGGTGTGTGTGTGTATGTTTGAGTGTTTGTGCTTCTCGTTGGAGGTTGGACTTGTTGGGGTAGTGGTTGGAGGAATTCATTCGGGAAGCCAGGCCTATGAGAGTTGGTGTCCTTGAGGCTGGGCTTACCTGAAGGTTGAGAAAAGTCCGGATCCCAATCCAACCACTATAGAGTAAAATGGGTGGTGAATTCACCTACCCCAAAATAGTACCATTGGTTTGGGAGTTTACCCTTCAGGTTTGATAAGCGTGGACGTTTGGCCGATCCAGGATGGTGGGGTCTATCCAGGGTTTTTTGTTCACGGAGGTTTTTACCCTTTCGCTTGCTGAAGCCTTTGCCCCTTGCGTCAGACCTTTCTGCAGATGTCCATCCACTTTGTTCACTTGAGGGTTTCTTGAGGTCGGCAAGGTTCATTGTTTCCTCTTCAAACCTCCCCAATACATGTAGGAATTTCTCCAAATTCGTGAATCGGCCCCCCTTTGGCATCAGGACATGAAACCAACCTTTGTGTTTCCCCCCCCCCCCCAGTGATGCGCGCCAACGAAAAGGGAAAACCTACGATTTTCGGAAATGGACCACGAAGTTGAGGTGAAATTGAAACGGACACCAACAACAAGCCAAGCAGTTTTGCTCAACATGGGCACGTTGTTTTTTTCAGAAAACCCGAGGCGAGTTGTTCTAAGCCGATGTCGACCGGTCTCCCTTAGTTGGTGGTTGGGATTGGTGGTTTGAGGATCTGAAGCTATGGTTCTTGTAGAGGGTAGCTGAGAAACCCCTCCTTACCCTCCCTCCAACTAACATGCCTGTCAGGGGCTCCCTTCAACAGGAAATGCATCTTCCAGGTATTTCCTCACAGGTGCCATGTTAGTTGGAGGAAGGGTAATAACCCCTCTAAACCATACAAAAACGAACCCCAAGGATGGGAAACCCCAAGGAAGAAGGGTCTACCCCCTAGATGGTAACACCCAAACCCCCGAGCTCCACGGGTTTCCGTGTCAGGACCTGGACGCGCAGCTGGCGCCGGCGCTGGAGGAGTCGGCGGAGCGCCAGCTCAGCAGCGAGGCGCTGCAGCTGAAGAAAAGCGCCGAGCGCCAGGCGGGCCATCAGCTTCAGCTTCCCACTGGGGTCATTTGTTTTGACGGTTTCTGGCAGGTAAAGTCAGAAACTGGGTGTTGTCCCCTTAACCTACCACTTAGGGGGTGACTTTGAAATCATGGGGCCTCTTCCATGTACTTAAGACTACGCCTTGTTTCCCTTTGGCTTTAAACTGAATCTATCGCCACTGGAAATATGTCATTGAAAAACGTTTGACCTAATTCTTTCCCCCGGCTGGTCACCCACATGTCGACCAATGTATATACCCCCTATCTACTTACGAATATGTTGTTTGAAGGGAAGGCAGGCCTTCACCGTGCGACATCGCCCGCTTCTGTTGCCAGGACGGCGCCCTCACACAGGCTGGGCGCTCCGAGCCTTGGGGTGTCCGGGCGGCCAGCGCTGGACACTTGCCCCATGCGACCCGCGCCCAGTTGCCAGGATAGAAACTAAGAAATATTCATCATCACCGGTGCTTGTGAGCTTCCTTTTGCTGTTGGTTGTTGGTTGTTTGTTGTTGTTGTTGTTGGTTGTTGTTGGTTGTTGTTGGTTGTTGTTGGTTGTTGTTGGCTGTTGGTGGTTGTTGTTGTTGTTGTTGTTTTTGTTGGTTGCTGCTGTTGCTGCTGCTGCTGCTGCTGCTGCTGTTGTTGTTGTTGTTGTTGTTGTTGTTGTTGTTGTTGTTGTTGTTGTTGTTGTTGTTGTTGTTGTTGTTGTTGTCGTTGTCGTTGTCGTTGTCGTTGTCGTTGTCGTTGTCGTTGTCGTGTCGTTGTCGTTGTCGTTGTCGTTGTCGTTGTCG